TGTGTGTATGTGTGTTTGTGAGTGTGTGTGTGTGTGTGTGCATGTGTGTATGTGTGTATGTGTGTTTGTGAGTGTGTGTGTGTGTGTGTGTGTGTGTGTGTGTGTGTGTGTGTGTGCGTGCGCGTGTGGGTGTGTGTGAAAGGGTTACTTTACTTTACTTTGACCAAATTTCACAACTACAGTGACTCTATTTCCTCCGACCTATTTAACAGGGTACCTGGATGGGTGTCTTCCTGTCCGCCGGCTGCCTGGCCGGGATGTTAGGACCCATTCCTGCGGCGAGAATCTACGACTGGAAAGGCCCCCGGGTCCTGTTCGGCGTGTGCTGTGCTGTTATCGCGATATGCATTCTGGTTGTTCTGCTGGTGTATCAGCGTCTTGTGCCGTACTCTACAAGACGTGTGGCGAAAACTGTCGCGGCGAACGGCAAGATACCACACGGTCACCATTGAAGGATATAACATATTATATTATTGTTTCACCGATTTATGTTTCTGCATGTAAAATTTACTGGGTTTTATTATCGTAATGCAGAGTTACATTTCCCAACCAAACTCGGGAGATATTACCAATTAGCAATACGCAAGACTTGTCATCTTTATTGTAGGCCTACACGTATTTTTAAGGTGATAAGTCTCATCAGTGAGAGGTTTTGGCAAGCTGCAGCCAGCCAGATGGCTTGGCCACAGCGAGGAGACGCCTTTGTATAAGTGGGCTACCGTTATGACAGTCTTGTCAACAACATGAGTTTGGATACAGCAGACTTAAAATATATGCCCGAGTCTCATTATATGCATGATGTATCGTTTTAAAACTTCGTTTATACACAGCGATCATTCGGAATAGGCATACTCGGCCATGACACTGGTCCGACCACTTACAAAGTCTTTAAACAAAATTAAATGGACTAAAAAACAGGGAAAAAACAACAAATGAAGCAAAAGAATATCCACGGTGAATTGTGCCTACACGAGCCTTATAGTGTAGATTTTACACGGGGGAGGGGGGCTGATCTCGTGGCCTAGAGGTTAAGGTGTTTGCCCCTCATTCAATAGATCCAGGGTTCGAATCCGGATAGCGACGGAAAATTGTCCTCTGTAAAGTTGTCTTCTTTGACATCATTTCCTGCGGAAGAATCAACTCACAACACAGCAGCTGACATGACCATAACTTCCCACGGACCTGCGAAGTGCTCACATGAAAACACCGCCTGACCAGACTGTCCTCTTCGGCCAGTCGAGTAGAAAATTCCGGTGTGAAGACCTGCCTACAATACATTTTTAGTATTTCTTGCTATGGTAGCAACTTAGGAAGACAGCACACCATAAAAATAAACAAGTTGATCGGAAAGACATAAAGAAACAACTGGTAGAGACCTGAATGATTTTGAATATCTGCACAAGAAAATAAATAGGCCTAAACGTTCGAGAAAAAAGGGGGACAAAATGCTAAGGGACCGTACCCACCCACTGACATCGGAATTTCAATTATCGGCCCGCTGTACACGATATATTTCCCCCCAAAAGTTAGAACAGACAGATATAAAAATTAATTCGTTCCAACTGCAGTGAAGTTACTGAACACACTGAGTTACAAGAAACAAAGAGAGGGAGGGAGGGAGAGAGAGAGGGAGAGAGAGAGAGAGAGAGAGAGAGAGAGAGAGAGAGAGAGAGAGAGAGAGCGAAAGAGATAGATAGATACTGCAAAGGCGAAGCGTCTATAATATAATAAAATAATCACTGCTTCCCTTCCAAATTTGAAACATTGCCGCAGTCAAATTCACCCAGAGACGTAAACCTCATAAATTAAATGTAAAAAGACGCTCATAACCAGCAATGAACAGTATGCCTAACATTCAAAACGGTTTCATGTTTCATTGCCACAGAAACAGCCTGTTCACCCCTATCGTGCCACTCCATAAGCAGTCGCAAGCTTTGAATAAATAAGCGTACAATGAGGCTGGAAGAGTCTACCAAAAGAGTTAAAGGGAACATGTTTGCAACAGTCAAAACTGTTCCATTGCCATATATACCCTGTTCACCCCTTTCGGGCCATAGTTATAAGCAGACACAAGCACTGATTATGTAAGCGAACTATTACGCTGGTTGAGTCTACCTTACAGATGTGAGGGGAACTGACTCCTAATAATATATTGACTGCTGCGAGTGCTTGTTTTTTTCCCTCGACTTTTTACCGTCCTATCAGATCGTGACCTCGATTTTGACACCGATTCCTGACCGCGAAACGCTAAACAAAAACAGCCAAATGTGAAATAAAAAAATAATAATTGTCATGTTCTACCAAAGAGTTTAGTATCACTGGTATTACATACTCATACTGTAGTACTGACATCTCTGCTTCTTTGCTTTGTGTTTGTGTATTCACATCTAAAATAGATTTAATGTTTGTTGAAATAAATATGCAATGAGATACTTTCCCGATTATTTTAGCGGTTGAATATGCATACAACATGAACTCAGGATTTGTTTTCATTCACAACTCAGTGTTGCCGCCTCGAGGCCTCAAGTAAGATTCTTGTGTGATATATCTTCAGACCCTTTCTGGTCCCATCTCGCTTTGATTACCCTGTCAAGCAAGTCAGCCTTCGCCCCTGGTAGATAGATAGATAGATAGATAGATAGATAGATAGATAGATAGATAGATAGATAGATAGATAGATAGATAGATAGATAGAGAGAGAGAGAGATAGATAGATAGAGAGAGAAAGAGGGAGAGAGAGAGAGAGAGAGAGAGAGAGAGAGAGAGAGAGAGAGAGAGAGAGAGAGAGAGAGAGAGAGAGAGAGAGAGAAATGTTTTGCTAAGCGAGTTGTTTCAGCTTGTAAAACATGTATTTATTTACTATTACCATGTCTTGTTGTGTGTATGCAAAAGTGCACCTAACTTTTGTAACATTCCACTGCCATTGTAAACAACCATGACAAATTTCTCCCTGTGAGATGAATAAAGATTGTTATTGTCATTGTCAAAACGGATTTTTTTCTTCGTTTTTGATTTACGGTGTAATGTTTTTGCTTCACCCAATTGATTAATTCTTTTGCAAACAAAACTAAATCTACTTATTAAAGGTATGCATCTTAAAATCTGATTGCAGGAAATGGAATTTAGTTCTTGTAGGCATTCTGTTTTCGTCTGTAGAGGCAAACATGACTCTGCAGATTAAGAGGTGAAAATCCCTTCAACGAATATTTACTTGAGCACAAAACTGAAGTATCTAAAACAGAAGTACTACGACTATCGTCAGAAACTACGCCCATCCCTTTTTATGGAGAACCCCTTGTAGAAATATGAGTAAATTCAAGTACTTTGGCAGCATTATAATCCAAAACTGCACACTGCCTTGACGACGTCAACCAAAGACTTAAAAATGCAAGGACCGCTTTTGTGAAATTAAAAACGATATGGAAGTCAAAGATCACTTCATTGAAGACGAAATTAAAAAATATAAAAGCAATATTTTGGCTGAAGTGACGTATGGTTCAGAGATATGGAAAACAAACAAAACAATTCAAAGAAAATTAAAAAGCTTCCAAATAAAATATTTACGAAAATTTTTACAAAATGGAAGGATGGAGACGTCTAGTTCATTTTCTGTTAAGAATGCCGAAAGCAAGATTGCTTATCGGACACGGTATTGGAAACTAACTGGAAGAAGAAAACGAGGAAGACCAACTGGACGCTATAGAGGCATAATAAGGCATGAGGCAATCATCCACGGCCTGAATTTAGCCGAAATTGGAGGACGTGGCCAGGGACAGAAAGCGTGGCGTTGACTGCTCTCCGCCTTATGAACCTGACGGTATAGGGAGTAAGTGGGGGGCTCTCGTAGCCTAGAGGTTAAGGTGTTCGCCTGTCAATCAAAGTTCCCGGGTTTGAATTCGGGTAGCGACAGAAAAACTTTTCTTCTCTAAAATAGTCTCCTTTCATCTCCTTTCTTGCTCTCTAGCATTGTTCTGTCGTCCGCTTTCGTCTCCACTTTCTGCCCCCACCCCCTCACCTCCTTTACCCCCTCCTCTGGGCTTCTGAATCTTTCTGCAGCCTTTCTACTGCTACTCCTTGGCTCCTTCTTACTGCTGACTTTCAGGCACATCCCTGATCTTTTGGTAGGGAAAGAGCTATTCCTAGCCTTCTCGGACAGGGGCGAATAATCTCGGGGGACCCGTGTGCAAGTTGCGCGCGTTAAAGATCCCTTGGTGGTCTAAAATCGATAAGAGTCGGCTACGGCGCCATCCGGGCAAAATTCAAAATGTCCTACCAACTGAAAATGTTTAATGTATCCCCCGCACTCATATGACCTTATGCAGTTGCGAGCGCCATAAAACACTCACCAAAAAACAAAGCAAAACAAAAAAGAGTACCTCTGTTCGTCGTACATCATAATTATTATAGTCACGCACTGTCGAAGGGTGGTCAAGATACGTCATCTCCCTCCGTTTAGAATCTAGAGCGTTGTATTTTGCACTGGGTAAACTAACTCCGTTCCTAAGTGATCCATAAGCTGACTCGGTTTGATAACGAATAAAATTGAACTCGCTTCTTATTCGTGTTGACGTCATTACCCATTTGGTATACTTTGCTAAGTGGCGTCAGAGGCCTAGTGGTTAGGCTACCGGACTCGTAATCGTGAGATCGCGGGTTTGGGAAAAGCATTTTACACGAATTTCCCATTTAGCTTAAAGTCCTTTCGGTGATGGACATTAAATTCGGAGGTCCCGCCTTCTGATTAACTTAACAGTTTGATAGGGGCGTTAAACACATACCATTTCACTATTACCATTTATCATACTTCTGCTTCTCGCCACAGATAAAACTTACTTTCGACTTAAACTACCGTGTATTTTATACACGACATGTGATCGAGGGGAGTTAGAAATATTTCGTTGTAATTGTGACTTTTTTTTTACCACCGACTTCATCGGAAACTAATGTTTTAAGATTGACAGGTCTACTAAAGTTTGGATTTAAGACACGGAATGTTCTGGCGGTGTTCCTTTGTAATATGTAATTTCATTTCCAAACATACTTAAAACTTGTCGACAAAGCTAGATTATCTATTTTATTAAAGAGAGAGAGAGAGAGAGAGAGAGAGAGAGAGAGAGAGAGAGAGAAAGAGAGAGAGAGAGAGAGAGAGAGAGAGAGAGAGAGAGAGAGAGAGAGAGAAAGAGAGAGAGAGAGAGAGAGAGAGAGAAAGAGAGAGAGAAAGAGAGAGGGGGGGGGCGGGCGTGCATGTGTGTGCGTGTGTGTGTGTGTGTATGTGTGTGTGTGTGTGTGTGTGTGTGTGTGTGTGTGAGAGAGTGTGTGTGTATTCATCAGTATTTTTCAGCACACAGGCAGAACATGTACAAACAATCATGCAAAGTGAGATGTAGCCGTGACGCATACTTTCATAAATATCTCGGACGCAGTAAGTTGGGAATGCTATAGAGCGGTCAAAAATTCGTGGCACAAATTATACTCTAATATTTCTGTAACGGGTGAATCAATATCAACCATACTTTGCACAGCAGTTTTTATCAGTTTGTCTTAACTTAAACATAATTTTTTTCACAACAATTGAGGCTAGCTTAAAAAAGATATTTTCTTCATAAATTTATGTAAAATACTATAAATCTCCGTCACACAGAAAATAAAATTGACGACGTCACTCCCTACGTTGCGGGTCGAAGAAATGTCAAATACAAACTCGAGAGGCGGCACTAACCCACAATTTAATTCCTGCGAATCCCAACCATACTTTAACGCTGAAATAAATAAAGAAAGTTTAATAGATTTTAAAAATCAAAACAAAAAGTATCCAACCCCCCCCCCAAAAAAAAAACAACAAAAAAAACAACAACAACAACCCAATATAAAACGAAACTACCATAGATCGTGCGCGAATCGATCGCGCGGTCTCTCCCTACCTTCCTTCACCTCTGGCGCCTGCGCAGCAAGGCTAGCGTATGGTGCGGTCACAAATTCGTGACGCAACTTATCCTCAAATATCTTTTCAACGGGTGAAGCAATGTCATCGATGATTTGCGCAGCAGTTTGTCTCATTTGTCTTAACTTGTTCATATTTTTCCACGACAGTTGAGGCTCGATTGAAAAACTTTTCTTCCTGAATTTATATAAAATACTCTACAACAAAAGTTACGCAAGTCATATAGCTACTTAAAGACTCGAGTGTTTAATAACGCATTTTTCGCTGGAATGTAGGCGATGAGCGATTTTTTTTTGGTGGTCAGTAATGTTGTGAGCTCATGTCACCAAGCTGAAAAATGCCTACAAAATTAAATAAGGTCATAATATGGCGGCGAAGAAAAAAAATGCAAACTGAGTATTTTTTTGAGCATGCCATGGTGAGCATTTTTAATCCTCTGAAAAGTGTTCACCCGACCGGGGGGGATAAATCGACAGGACGTAACGCTTTCTTCAGTCGAGTGTTTTGAGCCAGCAACCATGCTACGGCTCAACGAAGCAAATCGAGAAAGGGCTGTCGGCAGATTACAGGAAGGAGAGAGCCCAACAGATGTGTCTATAGCCATGGTGTGTTCCTCTAAACAATATGTCGACTCCGAAGACGTTTTCAAGTTACTGGAAGTACTGGTGATGCTCACAGAACTGGCCGACCACGAGTGACATCAGTACGACAAGACCGTGCCCTTCTGCGGAATCACCCGCGATGCAGCTTAATGTGTGCTACCGAATCGGCCCGAAATCTCGTTAGATACCATGGGAGAGCCATTTCAGGTCAGACTATGCGCCGCCGGCTTCCAGAAGGATAACTGCAATGTCGTTGACCTTTGCGACGTGCAGTCCTCTATGCAAGACATATTGGCAGCAACGTTTGGCGTGGGCTCAGCAACATGTGAACTAGGCCTGGCGACACTGGAGAAATGTCCTATTCACTAACAAAAGCCGTTTTTTTTGCGTCAGTCGAGGAGATGGAAGAATCCGGATATGGAGAAGACCCAACCAACGGTTCGCTGACAACGTCCTGCAGGTCGATGCATGGGGTGGTCCCAGCATAATGATCTGGGGTGCAATCGGCCTAAACCAACACTTGGGACCCGTTGTTTTCCAGAACATTGGACCAGGTCAGGGTAACGGTGTTAATGTACTGCGCTACATCTGACAGGTACTGGCGTCTGTGATCGTACCTCATTTCCAGCAACACCCGAACCTTATCCTGCAGCAGGACAAAGCTCGACCCCATACTACAAGAGCTACAGCAGCCTTCTTACAGTGGAACAATGTCAGGGTGCTGCCATGGCCCTCAATGAGCCCAGACCTCAACCCGATCTAACACTACTGGGACCAACAACAGCACCTCAGCTGCAGCGAGCCATCACGCAAATTGGTGCAAATGTGAACATGGGCATCATTCACAGACGTGTGAGGTCAATGCTAAACATGCCATGTTGTTGTGAGCACAAATGGTGGGCACACACGCTACTGATTTAAAGTTGACATCTCCGACCAATGAACATACCCTCTACCTCAAGTACATCATTTTCCACAGTAAATTCAACCTGTTTGCTCTCCAACGGGACTGGCAATGCTTACAGGGGAATCTCCTTCAACAAATGGGACCAAAAATCAATAAAATCACTTACCAATGCCATTATCTTCCTTTATTTTGTATATCACTTGCGTTTCTTTTGTTGTTGAGTATACTACAAATCTCCTTCACGCGGAAAATGGAATTGTTCACAGTTTCCGCTTCTCACACATTTGTATACGCATTTAATAATATAGCCTACGTCACAGATCACCAATGATACTTTTCAGTGGCAAAACTAGTTACAAGATATTAATTTTATAGTGAACAACTTTTTTGTACTAAAAGTTCCCAAGACATGCGTTGAATAAAGATAATCTCGCTATTAGAAAAAAAAAGGACGGACTTGCTTTTAAAAGCGATATCGTGAAAGCTGTAAACCTTCTAAAACCTGATTACAAACTCAGTTCACGCAAGCGTGGTATTTCTTTCTTTTTTCTTTTTACAAATTCACTCCGCTGCAGGGCTTGGCAGGTGGAGTCTCTTCTCCAAGTACATTTTGTTAATGCATGATTGTCATGTTTTACGCCCCCGTGTCTCATTCAGAAGCTGTCTGGGCCAACCTCGGCTCAGTGGGAAACGGCATCTCAACAGAAACACTGAGGAGAAAGGCCTACTCCATAAAATTAACTAACCCACTCGTAAATCTTTCGTCTGCAACTGCCAGGAATCTAAACTTTCCTCCAAAAATACTTGTACATGTATATATTTTTCTGTGTTACTATCAGCTTTATCTGTTTTCTAATTGTTTGCGGCTTTTGTGTTATATATAATTATATATATATATTTTTTTTTTAATTAAAAAAAAAAATTTTTTTTGGGGGGGGTATTTTAAAATTTATTTACTAAAAAAAAATATATCACACACAACCGATGCAGAAAATTAAAAAACCCAGATAAAGCAGATAGTAACACTGACATTGGAGGAGCTGATAACCACCGTGACCGACTATTTGTAAAATATAAAAGTCAGCTGTTCAGCACAAAATTGAAGCAATAGCAGAAGTGTGTATCATTTTTAACTTAGGAAACGGGGTTCTTTGGTCTTGATGTAAGGTTTTCGCCTCTTTCAAAAGTTCCCGGGTTTGAACCCTGACAGCCGAAATATTTTCTTCTCTAAAATTCTCTTCTTCCCCGTCCTTCCCTGTCCTCTGGTCATGTATTCATCTCCACTTTCTCCCCCCCCCCCCCCTCGACCCCCGGCCTCTTCTAGACTCTTCTTTCCATTACACATGACTAATGACTAAACATACAGAGTACCAGTGCCTTCGAAATCGGAACGTGGCAGTCTGAAGGCAGGGGGCCCTACTAAATAGGTATACCGGTCACATAGGTAAAAATCAGCTGCAGTGCAAGCTGAAGAACCAGCAGTCAAGTACCTCACAGTTCTTGCAGGGGACGCAATGAAAGAACAAGAGCAGGAAAACTGACACTAAAACTAAAGTGGAAATCAATCAAAGATCACCATAGAAAATAATGAAATGTTGACAATAAAACATTAGGTTTGACAGACAATCAAACGAAGAACACAGTGAATAACTTGAGAAGTTCAAGCAACTTTATTCTTTTCAAACTGCATTGACTCAAAAAATTCTGTATGCATTATTTTGTACACCAGCGTATCACAGTAATACAATGAATCGGCAGCGTTATGACAAAGGTACAAGGACAGATCAAAGGTTAAAGGTCATTAGAGCAGTGAGAGCATGGCCACCACACAGATTCAAGCTCCTGGTGCACATGAATTGAATGGCCACATCCCACAGGGTTCACTACACAGTTTACAGTAGACACGATTCAGTTTTGGGGTGCGTGGGTGACCAACTTTACCCAGGTCGAAAAGTTCAGCTAGCAGACATCATTCAATATTAAAACCCCTCCTAGCCTCACAGCTTCTAAATGAAGTCTTGCTTTGAATGACACCACGCTGTGAACTTTGGCCATTGCAAGTTGCATCCCCAACTCACCCGTATAACATCCAACAACTTCCAACTCACTGGTATCTGGAGTGGACAGAGAAAGTGCATGTTTGAAACATCAAAATAATATGCAATAAATTTACAGAGTACATCCCACCACATTGATAATGATAATATATTGTATCCATGGGATAAATGGATCAGGCAGTTTTCTACTATGAGCTTTGTGCACAGTGCGCGTCTTTGAGGTACTCTACTCTCTTACTTGGAAGATAAGTCACCAGCCGTAAAACCGTGGAAGAAAAAGCACAGACACTGACGCACACAACCATCACACAATGCAAAACAGGAACTTATCTACAGAGCCCACAGAGAAAGTATCGACAGAATAAGTCTTTCGGAGTCAATTAAGCGGACACTCCTACACCATTTAGGAAAAGCAAATTACATATGACTTGATGACTGTGTACTAGTAATCAACTTTACAACTTTAAAACCAGTGACTGGTACAAGAAAAAATTAACAGGCTATGAAATTGGCAGCTTGAAATCTCTCAAACTTCAACCCTATAAGGTGATAGTCAGCATAAAGTGAAACATTCAAATCTCATTTTTAGCCATGTTGCACATACAGTTGACATTGAACTTCTTAACGAAAAAAAACCCATGTCATTAAAAACAAGCACCCCCCCCCCAAAAAAAACAAAAAACAAAAAAACAACCAACCAAAACAAAATAGAAACAATAAACTATTTTTTCTCTTGAAAATTATAAAACTAAAAAGGTCACAAAACCAACAACTGTCTTCATCAATGTCCATGTCCATAACAAAGTTATGCAAAAGGAAATAATGCATAAACAACAGCACAAGCCACGAGAACTGATCACTGCAGAGAACAAACAAAATTCTGCATAAACATAATCTACGACAATCAAAAGGTGTTTTGCTGTTCAACTTTATTGAAAAAAAAAAGTATAGCATGTAGGAAGCATAACTATGTAGAAAGAGAAAGTAAATGTCGTTATAACACATTATTTTATTCTAAGTATGCAAACAATATAGAAAGAAAACTGGGTGCTCATTCCTCTTTTACCATAGCAAATTCATGACAGTACATAAATCCAGCCTTGTGTCCTTTTGCACACAAAGACCTTACCCTAAAAGCAGGCGAGCCTACATTTAAAAAATTAAAAAGAAACCCAACAAAACGACCCCTCCCCCCCAAAAAAACCAAGAAAACAAACCAAACAAAAAAACCCCAACAAAACAAACCAAACAAAAAAACCAACAGAAAACGAATTAAAATGGGAGCAGTTACTGTTCATTCAACTTCCACCATCTACACACCTTAATTCATTAATGGTGGAATCAGGCACTCATCAATTTTTGGGCATGTGGAGTGTGGAGTTTTTAATATTATCTTAAAGTAAGCCTCTGCATTTACTTAGTTTTTTTCGGCCTGTATTACCTTGCGAAAAAAGTAAATTTATTTTCCTTGCATTTTAATGAAAAAAGTACCCATCTATCTTGAATAAAGAAAAGTTATTTTCTATTGAATAAGGTTGGGGAAGCCTTTGTGTGAATGAGAAATTTAGTGAGAAAATGAGCGCCAACATTTGGTGACTTATAATGCTTGGGTGTACTTGGAAACTGTACAAATACATTTTGTGTGTGCCTTTGATCATCTTTTTTCTATAAAATTCACCCTGAAAAGTGTTTTTAAGCGGACATAAAAGGTGCTGTGCCCCCCCCCCCCCCCCCAAAAAAAAATATATAAGAAATGTGGCCAACAGGCAGAAGAATGCTGGCTTCTTCTTCTTCGATTTCATTATTTTGACGAGCGCCTGGTTTCACATTCAACAATGCATAATTTATTTGAAAGCTAAGTGAATTTTTTTATCACAAACACATATTTCTAGAATTATTACTGAAATTATATGAATGTGACAGCCCTGCACATTTCATTGATAAGTAAGAAAGTTTAATAAAGTAAGACAATATTTCATAAGTGTTACTGTCTATTCGGCTAGGATCTCCAGGCTGAAACAAACACTTTGTGAGAAATATTTAGAAAATGCACACACATACACACGTTTGTCAGTAGCTTCACATAAAACGAATCTCGGTGGCTGTCTCTGCTGTCGTAGAGGAACTATCAAAACTAATTGGCTCATATCTACAGCAACATTGGAGTGAAAGTTTTGCATTGTAAAGCTTCAAACCCCATTCTCAAATTCCATCTTTTTCTATTCAAACTAACACCTTAGTCAGAGGGCGGAGTCTGGACGGGTGTGGTTAGAACGTGTGTGCGTTACGACACACGCCGCATCCTAGAGCAAACTCCTCCCCTGTGGGCGGGTGTTTCACATGAAGAGGACACTCTTCTCCCTCCAGCTGGATACCCTTTGGCCCTGTGAACACACGGAAAATGGAAAATCATGAGATCAAGTAATCAGGAACATCACCTAAATCCATACACATTTTTGAAACCCTTGGGTTGTAAACAAACCTTCAATGCCGCATGTGATCTCCTTATCTTAATGAACAGTAACAGGTCTTTTTTTAACAACTCATAACTTTATATATATATATATAGGCCGGTGCTATTCGCCCGATGTCGGGTGACTATGCGTCCGGCTACTCGCCCCATCTAGGGTGGCTAACGTCAGGCTAGTCGACCGAAATCGAACCTAGATCTAGTTTTAGTCTTATACGGGGTGCCCACTACAGCTGGATCGGGCCGATCGGCCGACTCGATCGCCTGAAACTGAAAACAAGTTTGTTTTTGAGGCGACCGAGTCGGGCGATCCCATACGTAGTGGGCACCCCCCATTATGTAGCGTAAACACGGCCTCCCGAGTGACATGAAGCTATTGAGAGCACCTAGCACACCTCTGTGTTTGGCCCAAAATAGATCATAGATGACGTTTTTCAGCCATCTATTTTTGTCGTCTTTCAAGGTTTCCCTCGCGAGTTGACTACATTGTTGTAGATCCCCTAGATCTATCACCCTTTATTAATTATTATTATTCATCGGAATGCTGGTGACAAAGTAACCATCGATAGAAATGCAGCGCCGTGATGTTATTAAAGATTGTCTAACTACATTACTACCTCGCGTCTGAACGAGACTTGGGATCTACCCTTAGCACGCTAAGGATCTACCTCATCTTCTTATCGCGTGAAGGCCCGTGATACGAGTGTAAACAAACGTTCCAGCGCTGAGTAGAAAGCGATAAATTTTGTCTTCGGGCAGAAAGAGAGACAGGACGGGGAGAGGAAAAAAAGAGAGAAACGGTGAGAACGAGGGAGAGAGAGAGAGAGAGAGAGAGAGAGAGAGAGAGAGAGAAAGACGGACAGACGGACGGACGGACAGACAGACAAACAAGGGGGCGGGGGTTGTTTTTAGAATTATTGATTCCTGTCGTTCTCTCTCAGTGTCGGTTCACAAGCTGACCCGGTGCAATACAGTCATTATTGTACACATTATGGCCACCTCCATCTTCTTACATGACATGTACATATATAATAATGTCAATTTGGTCAGATAATTGCAGTTAGAGTCAAACTTTCACGTTATTTAAAAAAAATTTTTTATAGTAGAGGGTTTTACGGCGCTCGCGACTGCATAAGGTCATATGAGCGCCAAGGGGTGGGTGTCAACAGAGAAGTCTTTACAGGGAATCAGACTTAGACTGCTCACCTCTCTAGCTTCAACAGCACAAGGTCTGCTTCGACTATTAAGGCATCCCGGAAACAGCAGGTCACAAGAGAGTGACAAACATACAAAAGAAGTAGAGAAAAAAAGGACAATAGTAAGGATCAGGAAAGAAAAAGCAGCAGTTCCCTGTTGTAGATCAGGCAGTTATGAGCGTGACATGATGAATCAGCCCATTTACAATTCTACTGTGCTTGAACGAGAAATGTCCCCCCTTTGGGAATGGCCTAAAGACACTGCAGTCAGTGGCACTGCCCTGGTCCCTGGTGCTGTGTATACCAAACAATCAAGAACACAATTAAGTTTAACTTTTCATCACACCAACTGGTCTCCAAGCAGTTGTTTAGACAAGATTCAAATAAAGTTTTTAAAAAATCAGCTGCATTCTGGCAACCAAAGAACAAAAATTTAAAACACAAAGCAAGCTGGGATCTAAAAGTCTATGAGGTCCTTTAACTTTAAGTCCACAAGGTCTACACCCACAAATTTAATTTAAAAAATGCAACACAAAACAACAAGAGTTTGTTCATGATAAGTTAAAAGATCAACCGAAAAAGAAAAAGACAGCCATAACACAAACACATCCGGCAGCACATAATGTTTATGCTAAGAAAACGACAAGAGTGGAGTCTGCTTATACTGGACATGGTCAATCTGAAAACAGTGTTCAATCCAAAGCGAAAGAAAACAAAATCCCAAATTTTTTTCCTTCTCTGTCTTTGTAAAAAAAAACTATTGATTAGCCCATATGCTCCCATTTCTAAGCTGAAAAGGTTTCGAGGGTTATGTTGATTGAATCTTCACTAGCAACCCTCAAGTGATACAAGTTATCGAGTCTTATGCCCTCCAGGATAGCGAAACAGGAGAAAGAGAAACGAGAATGATTTGTCAGTTGTGGGCCAGAGAGAAACATTGTCAGTGTACAGTTTGCCTACATTTATCGCACACAACAATGGACCTACACACTGTGTATAGGACCGGTGAAGCAAGGACAGCAAAAGTATATCTGTTGGGCAACCTTCGGTTGGTCATAGCCTATTATCTCTGTCAAATTAGTTCACAAGAACAACTGCTGACAAGTGATGTGCTTCATGATGTCACTGGCATTGGGTGTTCTCACTTCTCTCATCTAGCACAGAGCACAATACAGTGTGCAGTACAATTCTACAGATCTACTCTTTCGTCAGTTGGGAGCTAACAATGGACAATGTCAAACAAAAAGCACAATGTGTACAACCTGCAGCTCGAAGTGCAGTAACTAAAAGAGGTAGATGAGAAGAATTTTTTTTAAAAAGTGAAATTCGCAGCACAAGCATGGCATTCCCAACTCTATACTGTCAACAATAATCTCTATTGGAGACTAAAAGCATGGCCTAACCAAAGAAAATCCAGCAGTCCCACAAACAAATTCTGGTTTGAGCAGACTCCACTGTATCTGCCTGCACAAGCACAAAACAACCCCCCCCCCCCTCCACATACAAATACTCTGAGAGAGAGAGTCAAAACAAACACAATAACAACTGACAAAAGAATCCCCTTACCAGCCGGGCAGTGGGGGAGGTTGGTCTTGGGAATGGCAGTGACTCTCTGGAACTCTTCATGGCAAAGGTTGCAGAAGTGGGTGGTGCCGAAGCAGAAGAAGACGGCCACGGAGCAGCAGTAGCGGCACTTGTACTCCAGGAAGTCGGCCCCGTGCTTGGCACACATCTGCGCTCGCGACACGTCGGAACACGCCCCACACACCAGCTCTGAGGAATCAAAGTCGTCCCCACCTCCAACAGCCTCATCGCAGCGTGCCTCTCCTCCATAGTAAGCCTGAAGAAGGAAAAAAAGAACCCAATGACAGACCTAGGGTCTCTGATCAGAAACAAAATAAAGACATCAAGCATATTTCTAAAACATGCTGATGCGGGTTCATGTTTGACATATTATTTTGCTACATTTTGCTATAGGACAAATATTCACTTTTAAGGACAAGCAGGCTAACCCAGATTTCGGGGGTTTCTAGAAATCTTGACCTACACCAAAAGTGGGGATTGCCCTACCTATAGGAGAAGTTTGGTTTCATTGGTCATAGAGAAAACTCTCCTTGTCTTTTAAAGAGACTGAATAAGAATCCAAAAACTTTAACTTCGATTTTCTCAAAACAGCATTTTTCGGGATAGCCCCCTTGTCTTTAAAAGCGACCAAATGTGTGTGTGCATGGAGAAAGGTCCCAAAGCTACTTTTGAGCACAGGGGAGAAAAGGCCAAACATTCGTTCCGGTAAAAAATTTAGTTCCACCAGAAAGCACAAGTTTAAACATCGGTAAATATAATATTGAAATAATTTTACAATATTTGGCTTAATATTTTTATTAGCTATTTATGCAGCACGTTTTACTTAATCAAAGGTTAAAACGGGCTAGAAATTGGGGTTTTCTTCAAACTTGGTTTTTGCCCACTCTACTGCAAAATGAAGCATAGCTTTAAAACTACTCAAGATATTGGAACAATTTTAAAATCAGCGTGTTCAGCATTGAATTGGCTGCAAGAATGTGCCCTTATTTCAATATATCAAAAATTTTCGACACCTGGGAACTTTTTCGAGGGACACACACAAATGATTTCATCAATGTCGGACAATGCTTGAGAACTGGCATACCAAGCAGGTAAAGGTGAAAAACCTAAACATTATAAGTAGAATGAAAGCAATAACAAAATAAATGTATTTTAAATCAGCCATGACGCCACAGAACAGAACTTGTGGCTGATCTAATAGGCCATCGACACTCTTCTAATACAAGTAACCCCCACCACCCCCTTCCTTATATGCCTGTGTACTACCTCTCACAAATTTAAACCCCTTCATTTAACTAAATGACAAGTCATATCAACGTGCACTTCTTCTTATTTTAAAAGATGCAAAATATTTGCACAACTCCTAGGATAATTACCTTATTGCACTTGAAGCAGACATAGTAAGCATAGCGTTCCATAGCAAAGCCAGCTGGGTCCTGGTAGAAGCGAGCGCCTGGTGTGGTGATGGCCTCCGCTCGGTCCAGGCCCTCGTACTCCAGTCGCATCAAAGCTTTACGCCGGACGTCCTCCTTCAGCGCTTTGATCGGTTCAAGGAGCGACTTGAGGGCTGGGTGCTCAATGGTGCTCTGAGAAAAGAGAGGATTGTTTGTGTAAAGAGGGGAACACTCACATAGTAATGGTCATACTGAGTAGGGAAAAACTAAGGACAAACAGAAAACATTTTTAAAAAGAAAGAAAAGGGACCTACCAGTGGCACCCTCCAATCACCCGTAAAATGAGAGGATAATTATCTACAGTGTTGTGCTCTAATTGTGTAACAGGAGGAAAAAAAGTCAAATTATTTTTAAACAAGTGCATGAGTCATTCTGCTGGTGCTAAAAATACCCTTAAAAATCTGTGCTTTCACTGGTATAGAAAAATTGTGAGCGTTGCTTCTCATTACATATCAGAAAAGCGATTAAAAAAAAATATTTTTTAAATTTTCAGGCAATGAGCTGCACGCTTAGAGCATAACACCATTGGTATGTGGTATGGCAACAGACTCATCTTCTTGAGACCTTTCATTCCCCTTGAGTTAAAGAGAAGCACACATTCATAAAGGAAAGACTGGGAAAAAGGAAGAATAACACTCTAACAGTACCCTTAAATCATACTCTTCTATTGTAAGCATTGAAAACCAAGTAAAATGTACCAAAAAAATGAAGATGAGAAACAGCCTCCAAAGTCCATTCAAAGTTAACAGCAAAAATTACACGACGTAGTTAACAGTTTACGAAAAAGCACTAGAAATAAAATGACTTCTCCTACTTCTCCACTTATGAACCCGCGTGCATATCGGTTTTCAGTTTACAAATCGAAAAGCTCAACATCCCAAAACCACGTTCCACATATCTATTAAAATTGTGATCAAAGTTCCGTGCCTATCTTTCTCTGATTGCCTATTTGACAACAGCTTCACCACCCATCCAGAACAGATTCTATGTCTGAACAACTTGTGGACGTAAAGAAAAAAAAAACCCTGAAAGATCTCTCAGACCGTACAAGAACACAAATAACATTCCGGATACAGGATGTCATTTTCCGAGCATTGTTCTAAAATATCTTCTTCAATAAATTCATGAACTTTAATTTCTGTTGTTTTTACTTACGTTTTCTTCTGCGTTACTTTCTTATCTTCCTTGTTTGTATAAATTCATTGTGAACGTTTTATGCACAATCTAGATCATTTTGGAGGCCAGCTACTTTTGGTCTAGTCTTTCAGTGGCATCCCTGACCCAGAATGATACAGCATGGTAACACAAAGAAAGGTACCTGATAAACTATTTGTCCTACTCAGGAATCAAACTTGTTCCCTGAGCACTTCACTCCAGTTAGCAAAGGCAGAGAGCCTGATCATTACACCACAGACACTGGCATTCTTTTATTTGTAGTTTTATATTGAAATACAGACATACAGGCATGAGGAACCCCCTGGGTCACTGAGGGGCTACACGCTAGACTAGCACAAAACTAACAGCACACCAGTCTTACCTTGCAGATCGGGCAGAGAGAGAAGCCAAACGTGATGCGAGCCCCGACGTATCTCTTTGTGAGGATCATCTTAGCACAGTGAAGGTGGAAAACGTGGGAGCAAGCCAACTGTTGGGGGGCGAGTAAATTCAAAGTAGCATTACAGGTGAAAGCTTTCTCGGAAGGATATCAAGAATATCCAGGAAAAAACACGAAATTGAACAAAAAAAGAAATGAAGAAGTACTGAAAGCAGCTGCAGCTATACGATCATATCATAATAGAGAATAATAAGAACATTATTTTTTGGGGCTATGTATTCTAGACAATTTCACTCAGTTGGGAAAATCCCTTTAAAAAAAGGAAGGGTTTACAAGACAAATCCAAATGTTTATTTGTTACATGAACAGTGAAAAAGAAAAAAATAACAACTGCAGAAAATCAGATCCACAAAAGTTTCTGATTATTGAAAGTGGGGGCCTTTCTCAGAAGGGACCCAACTAAACACTAGACACATCACACCCATCCACACACACACACACACAGTACCTGTATTGCCGGAGCAGCAGCCAGAGCCTCGGTGAAGCAGATCATGCACATGTCGTCTGCGTCCTGTTTGAGCAGCTCCTGGTCTGAGGCGCGACAGCGGTGCAAACACGGGAGACAGGGATCCTCCCCAGCTATACCTCCGCACAGATGGCCACAGCTCAGCATGCGATGACAGGCCAGTTTTGAGTACTCCTGAAGAGCATGAAAGAACCATGGAATGAAGAAAAGTGGCACCAATAGAGTTGAAGGGTGCAACACATTATGTAAGAAAACTATCCCATGTCAGAATACTCTAACAAAAAAATTCAAACGATAACAGTAGTTCAGTGCAGGGAAAGAGAAAGACAGACAGAAACAACTGAGGACAAGAAAAGAAGTAGGACCTACCAGTGGTGCCCTCCAGGCACCTGCCAACTCCTGAGGAGATTAATGTACCAGGTGAAGAAAAAGGGAACCATTAGTTCAGCCAAAACTCTGGATTAGAATAGATATTGCCTATTGTCAGAGGTCCTACTTACTCGTAGCTATAAGAACCCACACTGTTTTACGCTTACAAAAGTGCTTCAAAGGGGTGCGTTAAAGAAGTGGGCAACCAAAATAGATTTTAACCTAGCTGCAAAATGATATAAAATCAAAATATTTATCCTGTTTGAGGTCCTACATGGTGAGCAAGGGGCAACAAATGCACAAACAGGTTTTCAGAATTCCAAATTGTATCCATTTAAAAAGATTGCATTTGGCGAATAGAAGCAACGCGAAAATCGATTCACAAATCAAAGCAAGACATCTGTCAACTCAAGTGGTTTCAACTAATCTTTTACTCGTCCAAAAGGAACTTTGTTGTCACTGGTCCAAAAGGAACCCTCCCCTCTATCCACCCCATCGTCACCAGTGTTTTGGGGTCTCAGCAAACAGTCTATTGTAAGTGGTCCAGAGTGACTTACGGGATCGCAGAATTCACATCCCAACTCACGTGCAGACATACTAAACCTCACCTGGCATTCAGGGTCAGAGCAGACGTTGCCAATGGCCAGAAGTCCCGTGTTGCTTGTGCGGCCACAGAACCGACATGTACCTGGTCCAATACTTGCACCAGACACTTTTCCTGTCATAGAATTACAACTGTTAATAAAACTTTACCAGTGGAGACTAAAAAAACACAAAAATGTCACCTCTTCAAAGCATACAAGACAGAAATGAAATAGAAGTAGGAGATCACACCAGAGAGACAACTATTACAGCCAACCAACAGAGTAGGAGACAGTTTTAAAATTCACTTTTGTTTCAGTTGTAATAAGAGTAGGACTGAGAAGAAGTAAAAGACGCTGAACATATTATGGCAACCACTAAACATCCACTTTGAAAAGGAATCTAAAACTGTAAAAAATTTGTTCTAAATAACATCAACAGGTAAGAATAAACTCTGTTACATTCGTTTACTATAATTTAACAGATTAACCCAAAAACACCACAATTTTAGATGTCATGAGCCAACATGTTACTAATATACAAAAACAAAATAGGGCTTGGAAGAAGGCATATAAAAAAAAGATCCCTTACATATATCAAACCCATGTCCCTGTTACACAACAGCAAATATCAAACTTAGAAATTCAATACAAACCTTCTCTGAATTCCACCATGGCTTTGAAAGTTCTCGAATCAACGAGGGACATGACCCAGAACAACTTAATCCTGCCACATCCCTCATGAAGATCCACTTTGATTGCCTCTTCCTCTTCTTTGAACACCTGGGCACAGGAATGTATTTAGATGTAAGTAGGACTTAATAACTTTAAAAAATTTGTTCACATGTTTTGTGTAACTGAAGAGAATCATATTGACATACAAACTTATTGCTCCAAAGACCAAAATGACGACGACTAGGAGACTTTTATGACCTGATGATGGAAAAACTTTTTCTGACAGTATTCTGACGAAAGAAGCAAACATTCCAGGTGCACAGAACCACCAACTCCTCCCTCTCACCCCTCTGCTCCCGGGAATACAAACTCACAACAAGTATGCATATTTTTTTCCCCCTTTCTTCTCAAAAACACCTACAAACTTCAAAACAAAACACATAAACCTAATCTCACCTGTCTCTGGTGTCCTCGCATGCGCCGTGGCAAGTGGAGGTAGCGGTCACACTCAGCACACAAGTTGCCGCAGTCTCCACACAGGATGATGGCAGGGGTAACTCCGTCGTCGTGGTTGTCACAAGTTGGCTGGAACAGGGGAGGAAGGGAGGGGGAGGGCATAAACTATGAAACAGCAGTTTTTGCAGACTAGAGAATAAAAGTCAAAATTGGGGTCATGGTCTTTGGCACTGTTATGATAATCCTTCTATACCCCACTTCAACCCAAATTTAGGAAGCAGGTGTTTTGACCCTGCCTATCAGAGCCAACCCATGTGGAAGGGGATACAACGTCCCATCAGACAGACAGAAACACTTAAAAGATGACCATCCAATTATCAGCACCAAAGCTGTTATTGTAATATTTTACTCCCCATCCACGCAAAATAGATCATTTAGGGCTGTTTTGACTCTGTTGAGAGGGATACAGCATCCTTAAAGACAGACAAATATACTTTATTTAAAAAAAACAACTTCCACTTGGGAATCAAACCCCTGCCTTCTGCATGCAACGCCAATGATCATGGAAGTAATACCACAGGTGCCAATTACACGTTCACTAATAAGTAGCTGACAATTGAAGGGTAAGAGTCCGGATTTTTCTGCAGCTATAAGTACAGCGTAAGGTATAGAGTAAAGTTTTGTTGCTCACCCTGGGCTGGCCGTGCTGGTGGTCCGGACTGGAGACCCACTCACCCGAGGACAGGCGGTCCACGTGGTCTTGATCCAACACGCACAGAGAGGCAAGGGCAAGCCACAGCTGAAGGACAAAGGGCAATTGAAAGGGGTAACAATATTCAGTAATTAACACACAATTGAGAGGGAACACGCAGAGGAGGTTAAGAAATTCAAGCTACTGAGTATAAGTAAAGATTAGTATATATAGAATTGAAAATAGCCATTTAGTGAAGGAAAAAAGGAAGACAGACAGTCAAAATCTACATTGTCAAAGAAAAGAAGAACCTACCAGCAGTATCCTCCAAGCACAACTGCTATTAACAGGGGGACAAGACAAAAATAGAAATTAATGCCCAGCAATAATGTCTACTTTGATGAATAAGATCTGCCAAACAGTTGACAAATGAATCCTTAAAACACCATGAAATACACCCAAATCCGAACAAATCACAACTAGTCATGAGCAAGCAAGCTATTGATGCACAAACAGGTTCATGTCAAAATGGCTTCCACTGTTGTGATAGCAAGGCTGATACAAATTGTCTCCATGACCCTGCAACTCTACATGGATGACTACTTCAGTGCCTGATCATATGTTGTCCTTGTCACAAGAAAAATGACTCCGCCTTACAAGATAGGTTAACTCTTTATCTCTGCGGGGGGTAAACCCACATGCCGGGGCCGTTTTTTGGTGCTAAATCTAAAAATGACAAAAACGTCATTAAATGGGTAATTAAATCGAAACTAGCAAACCTATTTTAATAGCTCTTCATCTAATGAATGAACTTTCGGTATAAGAGACCCGTTTTAGGCAATTGCTGAAAAGTAATTTGATGTCGAAGTCGTCGTAAAGGAACGTGCCAGAGCCGCTGTCAGTAGCTCACTGGCACAGTGGTTCCGACCGCGTGCCACTGGGAGCGGCGTGCCGGAAATAAAGAGTTAAAATAAAATTAGACTCGCTCATTTTTCTTGCGGAAGTGACAATACAGATTGTTTGCCCCTTTTCAGCCACTAGCACCAACAAACATTTCCCTGCCATCCAGGGATTTACATCAAATCTATCTCTTACTAAGTAACACTTACAGTTGGAGTCTTCACACAAGTCTGGGGGTCTCTGTGAGTCTCATCTAGTTTGGTCATGTTCAGAATGGTCTCCGCGATGGCTGCCTTCGTGAAGGTAGCCCAAGATTCGGACAGCTTGCCCTGAATGAAATAAACAGACAAGTAAGGTGAAAAGTATCAGTTTAACGTGTCCCAAAACACTCCCAGATTCATAATCCACAATACATTAAATTTGAGGTAAATAAACCTCTGCTCACACTGAAATAAAGATTACCGCTGACAAGCTCTTTTTTTCATGATACTCTCTACATAAACCAGTGACCATCATTTTGCACTTTAAAAAATCAACATGCATTTTTCTAATGTTGCGACTAACACCAACAAAAAAGTTTGGTTTATCTCCTAAACTATAAATTCTTTCAGAGAAATCTTAGCTTTCATTTTTGATACAAAAGAAATGACACGCCTAAAAAAGAGTACCAAATTCCAATCAATATGTAACAAAGAGCAGTTTTGAGATTAGTTTTTTTGTTGTAAGTTAAACAGGGCAATAAAACAACTTGTAGAGAACTCACAGCAGCCATTTCCTTGACCAGCTCCATGATGCTGGAGGCCAGGCCAGAGTCCATCTTTCCCCGCAGCCACCAGCGAGTGGACCTGGAGGGACACACAAGTAAACACCATCTATGTTCTCTTTGAGAGACACAAGTACACACAATCTATGTTCTCTTTGAGAGACACAAGTACACACAATCTATGTTCTCTTTGAGAGACACAAGTACACACAATCTATGTTCTCTTTGAGAGACAAGTACACACAATCTATGTTCTCTTTGAGAGACACAAGTAAACACAATCTATGTTCTCTTTGAGAGACACAAGTAAACACAATCAATGTTCTCTTTGAGAGCACCATCTGGACAAGAGACGATATTTTCACATTCGTGAAGACAAACATGTTCGGATAGAAGGGTTTGTTGAAGGGAAAGAGCAGCATACTGACTGCTTAGTGTAAGAATCTGCCAAATAATATTTTGGAAAGTGATGTAAGACGGAGGCTCACACTGAGCCATCGATATAGACACAGGATTGTGTCAGCGGCTGAATACTATTACCTTTTTCATTTTCACTTCCCACTTCAGTTATAGTTTGCCCTTGGCTCTCTGGTTTTTCATATGTCTTCATCCCCTTCTACAGAATTATGACATGATAAATTAAGAGGCGGGCTACTTTAGCTTCTCCTGTCCAGACCAACCCAGGTTAAGTGGCATACAGTCTACTAGCAAACACATATAGACATTAAATAAAATAACTCCCCCACTTGAGATAAAACTTATGTCTTTTGTGTACAACAGTGAACATCCAAACCATAATACTACAGACACAGGTAATAAGAATGATGGTCATTAAACGCTTGAACCCAAGTTCATACTATTTGGCTCTAGCAGACCCCAAAAAATCAATTTTCAAACATACCAAAGCACTGACACGGGGACAAAACACCATTTAAGAAATAGAAGAAAGGATAAAACTGAAAATGAGTTTGCCCATTACACTGAATTTACAGAATTGGTTTCTATTTTTTTTAAGCTTAAGGAAAATAACTTTTCAATAAAAACAAAAATTACAAATTTCAATGCTATCAAAAGCAGTAAACTAAAATATTCAAGACTATTTAGACAGTTTCATGGGGCTTTCATATTCCAACAGTGTCAAGCTCAATATTACACAAAACAGCAGAGAGACCATTCATAATCAACTTCTTTTAGAGGAGATAGAGATGTGAAAAGCTGGCATAAACAATGGGACATGAATGCTACTATAACTCATGATAACAGTAGGAAACTTGGTATCAAAAAGAAGCCAGACAAGAGTCAAACAACGCACCGTGCAGAATCCTCCAGGCACTGTGACAAAGTCAAAGTGGTGCTGACCTTGCTGGGACCGGAACTCTTCACCTTCATCTGGACGCTGAGAGACTTGGCCACACAGGACAAGAACACGTCAAGAATGCCTGGGGCCTCCGGGTCAAAGGTCGAGTCTCCCTCCGACTCACCCACGATGTTGTAGTCAATGGGTGGCAGATTGGGTATGGAGAGAATCATGGCCAGGACCTGGGGCTTCACCCATGGCAGCACACGCCGGAAGATGATGGTGATCTGAAACAAAAACATGTGGAACAGACGTTAAAAGGCAGCTCAATACACTTAAACTCACACCTCTCAAAATGACATAAACCAAAGTTTCACTCTCAAATCAATATAGTTAGATTACAAGCTACAAATCTGATCTTGAAAAACAAGGAGACTGCACTGGTATGCAGAACGCTGAACAACTTCCCCATACATATACATTAAATAAACGTATGCCTTAGAGACAAACAGTGACTACTGCCTTTCAAGCTCTGTCCCAACCTGAGACAAAACATATAACATTTTCCTGAAAACCTCCCCACATAAAAAAACAACAATCCCCTAACAACAAAAACAACCCTCCCCCCCTGAGCTCATTACCATCAAAATCAAAATCCCTTTACCTGTCTCTGTATGCGCGGTGTGGCTGTGTGCAGTAAACTGAACATGTCATGTATGAGCGTGTACTGCTGAGCCAGGTATTTGCGGCCCACAGACGAACCACTCAGAGCAACCACCATCGAGATGAGCTCAAAGCAATAAACGTCAGAGCCGTGGCATTCCTCCGCAGAGCCTGACGCCTGTGACAGCCCATGTTCCCATTCTTCTCGCATCTTCACCGCTTCCTTTCGGATTCCTTGGACAATGTGGTTGCACACCTGCGACAAAGAGATATACATCATAAGTAAAATAACCCATTAGAACAATCTATAGAAATATGCTTTAATATCTGAGGTAATTCAAGGCATTTAAATGAAATTTAAAAAACTTTCTTCCATTCAACCAGCATCATCAAAATACAAAGAACTAAAGTCCACTCCCTTTTGGTAGTTAGTAATTATACAAACTCAATTATAGTTGCAACACTGAAATATTATTTAACAGGTTTTATGTTAACCTCCAGTTTGACTGAGACAAATGGAACGAGCCCCTTGGTAACTTCCAAAACAACTTCAGTTTTATAATGCTCCATCGGGGATTTGAACTAGAGTAACCATACAAGAATAAGCCGAGCTAGTACAACCATGTGCAAGCCATTTAAGAAAGCTTGGTGACACAGGAATCTCAACATGAAAACAAAGAGGACAGTATCCCAAGAATGCTTTCTGCGCAAACTGCTGTATACAATTGAGACCAGAACATCAAGAAAAAGGCTCGAAAACTTTGTCATGGCTCATCTCTGAAAGACTATTAGAATAAGACAAAATAATCAATTCAGAGGTATTGGAAAAATCTGGAGATAACCATGATATTTACACTGCTTCTGCAATGTAGACTCAGAAGACAAACATTATTGTCACACAGAAAATGGCGAGTATACCAAGTCTTCTTCTATGAACAACTAGAGAATGGGAGGAAGAATAAATATAACCTCCACAACGATAAAAAGATGCTAGCAAATGGGATATGTAAGCAACAATGGTAACTAATTTTAGACGCCAAACACTCCATGACTAAAAACAGGAGTTCTCAAAATCCTCCCAAAATCCCTGTTGCTTAGGATTACGTCACAAATCGACCACGGCAAATAAACATGAATGGCAAACAAAGTCTTACCTGCTCTAATGGTAAACTATAAAAGACCATCACCTGTGCTAATGGCCAGTTCCCATTTCCCAATATACATCTGTTTTTTTTATATTTAACATTATAGTGGCACAAAGCCCAATCCCAGGTCCATGTCTCGGGAGGTGGAAATTGGACAAAGTAGGGGATTGCTGGGTTCAACGAAGTACGGTGTGGCTTTATGCCACTGAGGCGTCACGCCAGCCATGAAGGAGAACCCAGGTCACTTCGAAAAGTTGCAGGCTAACGGGGCTCTGGTGAAACTGCGACAGGCCTAGCAAGTCGGCAGTGGATTATTTATTGCTACAGAAACTAACTTACTAATAGTGGCACAGTGTAGGATGGCCACCTGTCAAAGATTATCACTTTTCTTCTTGACAATTTGCGGCCCCTCGGACAATTTCGACTGAACATAAGAATAATTAGAAAAACAAATCAGTCTTTGAATGTGTGGGCCTAAAATTCCCTTACAACACACATGTGCACAGACAAAACACGCACCAACGTGCACCTGTCTTCATATGTGCCCACACAAAAATCCCTGGTGACATTGCACTTGCCTCCACATGCGCACCCATGACATTGCATACAGCATACACCTCTCTTTCCACGTACATACAGTAAACTCTCTAACAACACGCACCTGTTTCTGCATGTGTGACAGCTTGCTGCGACTGAACAGAATGCTGACCATGTGCTCCTTGAGGTCGTTGTCACCGTCTGCCTTGTCCTTGTCTTTGTCCTTGTCCTCCTTCTTATCCTCCTCGCTCTCGCTCTCTTCTGGACTGGTTACCAACTTACCAAACACCTGTTTCACAGAGAAAAGAGAAAAGAAAAAACAAACCCATGTGTATTCATGCCTATAACATTTTTTGTTCAAAATGGGCTTGTATTCATTGTCTGATTATACATCCAGACACACCAGTAACTCACTGTACACAATGTGAAATGCTGACACACCACTGTTGGGTAGAAAAGAGTAGAAGTGAACAAAGAGTCAGTTTGAAGTCATCATCAGGATTGCCTTTTCACCTTCATGTCTTTTCACTTTTCTGTACATCATTCTCTGAGACTCCTCTCCAGGTTGCATGTGAAGTTCCCCTTGATCTCTTACCCTGTGGAATCCAATCTAAGATTTTCTATGTCATGCAACTGCCTGGCTTGTTGAGGGTATGTCAAATCCATCGCCACTGCCTCCTCCCCACTTCCATCTCTGACTGGGCTCTTCTGTCTTGCTCTCCTAAACACTTCCTTATTAGTAACCTCGTCTGTCCTGATCCTGTGTTACTTAACTTTTCCTCTTAATGCAAGTCTTGAGATGCCTTCCATGGCTCACATTCATACAAGACAGACTTCATGTTTGATTTGAAAATCTGGAGCAACATATCATTAACCCTTCAAATCCTGTTCAAAGATGAGAAAGCAGCTTGTGCTTACCAATGTAGGTCTTCATTTCAGCTCCCATTCCTCCCTCTCTGTCAATAATACTCTAAGATAGCAGAAGGATTCAACATCTTCGAGTGCATTTCCCTCAATTGTGACTTTCTGTTTTTGTGGTGCATCTATCTTTAGGACTTTTGACTGATATGTGATTTAATTAAAACTAAAGTCTTTGCAAACATTTGTTCAGCGTGAAGGGCCAAGCAAAAAGATGGGAAAGTCTGGGGATCACACCAATGATTTCTTTGAAGCGAGGCATACCTGTGAGGTTAAGATCCGGAACACCTTGAGCGTCTCCCCCTCACAGTTGTCCTGCTGGATCTGAACTGCGCCCTTCTTGACCTCCACCGTTGTGTCCTCGTCATCCACCAGGCCCAGGATCTTGACCTGTCGCAGGCGTAGACTCTGGTCCGAGCCCTTCAACTCCACGGTCATGTGGCGCAGTGGGGAGAAGGCCGAGCCCGGCACCGGGCAGCGGATCCAACCCGAGTGGAGAACGTCCACCTCAACCTAAATAAACAAATAAATAAATAAAAATTAAATTTGTTGATTAATAAATCAGATATTTGGATGAGGAAACACTTGATCCTTGGTAATGTGTAACTGTGAGTACAATACGTGTCGTGCCACGGCAGAATCAGGTGCTTGTCATTTTTGGGTATATAGAGTTTTCGGTATAATCTCCAGGTCTGTTCATTTTGTCTAGCTTTAGATGAATAAGACATCCATCTTTCTTGAGGAGAAGTCGAGATATTGGCGATTGGAGGACGTAGGGGTCGCCTGGTATCAGAGGTAAAAGTAGCCAGAAAATGGTCACAAAAGTTAGGAGACATCCAAAGCTGTTGCGTCCTTGGAAACTACAAATTTAAATTCTTAGTGCATTTGATCCACATTTTTCTTAAAAATCCATTAGTGAAAGTCATTTTGAGTAGACATAAATGGTGGACATAAAGGAGCCCAAAACAAACAAATTGATCTAAACTGCCAAATGGACGGAAAAATATTGATTTCTTTGAATTCATTATTTTGACGAGTGCTTGATTTCATCACGATGCCTCATGTATTCCTTGCAATACTGAAAGTTATTTAAGAGGCATGATCTCTAAATATAACATCCCTCTCACATAAGAATGAAAACCCAAGAGCAAACCCAAGACTAAGAGCTTTCCCCTTTTGAGTTTGAACCATGGTAAAATTCCATTCCCAACACTTTTGAATTCATCATTTTATGTGCAATGCCAAGAAAAGATGTGCACTTATAGTTTTAAAAAAAAAATATTGTTTTTCACAGTCACTTACATAGTAGGTGCAATTCATATGCATTCGAGTCAATAAAAAGTGAATCATTATCAACCAACTGCTTCATCGATGATTTTTCATATTCCAGTTATAAAGACTACATCAGTTGACTGTAACCTTGTCAAATAATAGCTTTCAAAGGAACTGTTGCAAAATAATAATTTTTGAGCAGGACAAAATAAAAAATAGTAACATGATTACACCAAAAAATAATACAAACAATAATGATAACAACAATTGTAAAGCTTATAACAAGTTATACAAAAGTAAAATGTTAAAAGAAATAAAATCCAAGGCCACTTACGTGTTTGACTTTCTTCAGATCATCAGCTTGGCTGCCAGCATTGAAAGTGACACTTGACACTTTGTTCTGTACGAGGATTAAGAAAAAAAAAGGAGAAAATTATTTTTTGGGGTATCATTATCACTGCCTTTCTCACCCTGCACCAGGGTATAGGCCACGGACAAACACTTTCCACTTTTTTCTATCCTTGGCTAGCCTCTTGATGTTATTTCATGTCTTCCTACTTTTCTGTACCACAATTTATGTGATTCTTTTCCAGGGTCCACGCAGTCTTCCCCTTAACCTTTTACCCTGTGGATTCCAATCCAAAACTTTCTTTGTTATGCAGCTGCCTGACTTCCTGAGAATATGTCCAATCCATAGCCACTGTCTTCTTCCTAGTCATCTCTGATCTCTGACTGGGATCTGTCTTGTTTTCCTTAACACTTTTTCGTTGGTGACCCTGACTGTCAATCCGATCCCCAGTAACTTTCTTAGACACTTGTTCAAGAAAGCCAGGATCCTTTCTAAACAGGTCTGTAATGCGTTCCATGTCTCACATTGACACAACAGGACTGACTTCCCATTTGAATTGAAAATCTTCAGCTTTGTTCGAAGTAAAATATCTCTGGTCTTCCAAATCCTATTCAAAGATATGAAAGCAGCCTGTGCTTTTCGAATGCGGGACTTTATTTCAGCACCTGTTCCTCCCTCTCTGTCAATTATACTCCCAAGATAGCAGAAGAATTCAATGTTTTTCATATCAACAATGAAGATAATAAAATTGATCACATATTCAATTCGCAATCAATACGTTCCATTGAAGTATAGGATAGACACATATGAAGTACGTCCCTACATTTTATTACATTTGGCAGGCAAGGTTGTCTTTTTTATTTTCAGTGAAAGGGAAGAATGTCAAAGACAGTTACTTATCTCTATGAAAGAAATAAGAAGACAGTGAGGGAAGAAAAAATGAATAGAAAGGAGGAAGATGAAAACCTACATGTTTTTGGGTTGTTTTTTTTTAGACAAAGTTCACAGCCAGTCATCTCAATAAAGGCTAAACTTCACCAAGAACAGATTAGGACAATAGTAATACTGAAAAGATGAAGGAGCAGACTACATCTAAAAGATACTGGACACTACCCCCCCCTCCGCCATAAAGGATAGAACATTTGTGAATCACCTATAACCAAAGTGATCATACTACAAAAAAGTGTGTAAAGTGGGAAAAGTACGGAATGTCACCAATAACATACATGGATGTTGTAACCCTCAGCTACCACCACACTAGCCACGTGACTCACCCCTATATCACGTATGTTGTCGACATATACATAGATGACTCACCCCAATATCACGTATGTTGTCGACATATACATAGATGACTCACCCCTATATCACGTATGTTGTCGACATGTAGAGAGATCACTCACCTCTATATCACGTATGTTGTCGACGTGTACATATATCACTCACCCCTATATCACGTATGTTGTCGACATGTAGATATATGACTCACCCCTATATCACGTACGTTGTCGACATGTACATAGATGACTCACCCCTATATCACGTTCGTTGTCGACATGTACATAGATGACTCATCCCTATATCACATACGTTGTCGACGTTTACATAGATCACTCACCCCTATATCACGTACGTTGTCGACATGTACATAGATGACTCACCCCTATATCACGTATGTTGTCGACATGTACATAGATGACTCACCCCTATATCACGTATGTTGTCGACATGTACATAGATGACTCACCCCTATATCACATATGTTGTCGACATGCACATAGATGACTCACCCCTATATCACGTATGTTGTCGACATGCACATAGATGACTCACCCCTATATCACGTATGTTGTCGACGTGTACATAGATGACTCACCCCTATATCACGTATGTTGTCGACATATACATAGATGACTCACCCCTATATCACGTATGTTGTCGACATGTAGATAGATCACTCACCTCTATATCACGTATGTTGTCGACGTGTACATATATCACTCACCCCTATATCACGTATGTTGTCGACATGTAGATATATGACTCACCCCTATATCACGTACGTTGTCGACATGTACATAGATGACTCACCCCTATATCACGTTCGTTGTCGACATGTACATAGATGACTCATCCCTATATCACATACGTTGTCGACGTTTACATAGATCACTCACCCCTATATCACGTACGTTGTCGACATGTACATAGATGACTCACCCCTATATCACGTATGTTGTCGACATGTACATAGATGACTCACCCCTATATCACGTATGTTGTCGACATGTACATAGATGACTCACCCCTATATCACATATGTTGTCGACATGCACATAGATGACTCACCCCTATATCACGTATGTTGTCGACATGCACATAGATGACTCACCCCTATATCACGTATGTTGTCGACGTGTACATAGATGACTCACCCCTATATCACGTATGTTGTCGACATATACATAGATGACTCACCCCAATATCACGTATGTTGTCGACATATACATAGATGACTCACCCCTATATCACGTATGTTGTCGACATGTAGAGAGATCACTCACCTCTATATCACGTATGTTGTCGACGTGTACATATATCACTCACCCCTATATCACGTATGTTGTCGACATGTAGATATATGACTCACCCCTATATCACGTACGTTGTCGACATGTACATAGATGACTC